TATACCATTGCTTCTGTCACTATCACGACGCCACTACCATTATTATACCATTGCTTCTGTCACTATCACGACGCCACTACCATTATTATAACATTGCTTCTGTCACTATCACGACGCCACTACCATTATTATACCATTGCTTCTGTCACTATCACGACGCCACTACCATTATTATACCATTGCTTCCGTCACTATCACGACGCCACTACCATTATTATAACATTGCTTCCGTCACTATCACGACGCCACTACCATTATTATAACATTGCTTCTGTCACTATCACGACGTCACTAATGATGTCGAGGTGACCAGAGATTTTAACTTACTCCGATCACCAACAGCACCATCACGACAAAACTCAGACAGAGGTACAGACAAGCTGCGTATTTGCGTAATTTACGCAAATATTTATGTGAAATCTAAGCTCCTATCAAGTACGCTTGAATTGTGATTTTACATGCGTACACATAAAAATGCCAATTACTGAGGATCAAAAATGCGTACCGGTGCATATTGAGAGGTTCTATTTCGACACATGAACATGGCAACTTGCATTCTTTCTTATCGTTTCTCAAATAGATAACAAACACTAACATCTAAACTTTATTATATATTTAAAATTAATGGAAAATGGCAAAGTACCCAAATGAGTTTGAGTGAGGTGAGTACAATTTATTTGGTTACTCAAAGGAAAATTAGGACACACAATTGAGATGAACACAAGCGAGTACATAACTCAATGACCCCAAAAGTAATCTGTAGTTCTGGGTCACGAGCAACCAAAGATAGAGTTATCATAACTCTGTTGTTGTTGATCACTTAATTGTCTGGTCCAGACTCGATTATTTACAGACCGCCGCCATACAGCTGGAATATTGCTGAGTGCAGTGTAAAATTAAACTCACTTACTCACTCACTCATAGCTTCACTCCTCTTATTATCATAATGTCATACCTGCTACTGAACACAACGGCACTTAATCAATAGCATCGTTCTTCTCATTATCATGTGGTCACTTCCCAACGGTCATAACGTCATAAAACGTTTAAGTATTTCATTTGTACTTCTGGAACTGACTCATACACAATGCATATATTTGTTTGTATATGATGGATGATAAAATAATACCAGACTTTTCATAATTCTTCTCGATTCATGGTTCTGATAATAGTTATCTGAGTATTGGTGTACATGGTGATGAAAGCAGTATTATGGTTGGTTGATTGTTGTTTAACGGACCACTCAGCCGTATCCAAGCTATATGGCGGCGGTCTGTAAATAATAAGAGTCTGGACCAGACAATCCAGTGATCTGCATCATGAGCATCAATCTACGCAATTGGGATACGTGTCAACCAAGTCAGCGAGCCTGACCACCCGATCCCGTTATCGCCTGTAACGACAAACATGGATTACTGAGGATCAATTCTAACCCGGATTGTCCCGGGTAAGCAGCATTTTAAACGAATATATATGTGTATTATGTGTATTACGAATAGATATTAAAGTGTTATTTCCTAATTCATTCAAATCTTCAGATGTTATTACAATATGAAACCGTTACCTATCTTAATCTCTTTATAACGACCACTCCATATATCCATGTTAATCTCTTTATAACGACCACTTCATGTATCCATGTTAATCTCTTTATAACGACCGCTTCATGTATCCATGTTAATCTCTTTATAACGACCACTCCATGTATCCATGTTAATCTCTTTATAACGACCACTCCATGTATCCATGTTAATCTCTTTATAACGACCACTCCATGTATCCATGTTAATCTCTTTATAACGACCACTCCATGTATCCATGTTAATCTCTTTATAACGACCACTCCATGTATCCATGTTAATCTCTTTATAACGACCACTCCATGTATCCATGTTAATCTCTTTATAACGACCACTCCATGTATCCATGTTAATCTCTTTATAACGACCACTCCATGTATCCATGTATAACTCCACTCTGTTTGTGTGTGTGTGCGTGCGTGCGTGCGTGCGTGTGTGCGTGCGTGCGTGCGTGCGTGTGTGTGTGTGTGGTGGTTACTGAAGATCAATTTTAACCGGTATCTTCACGGGTTGAAGGTCTAGTAACCCCAGCCACACTTTGATATCTTATTATGATATACACAAAATATTTGGACCTTGTCAACTGAACGTTCAGGGATAATTCGTAAACCAACTCGAGAATATTCTATATGGAATGTAATGCATTCTATATTTCGTACTCCAAATATGAAACAAAAACATTTTACAGTGATGATTTTAATTAAAATAAATTTATTAGGATACTTCAGTCGTTTCACACGCCATTAATATATGAACTCATGAATGAATACACGTGCAAATTCAAAAGGTGGTTTTGAAAAAGCAAATTTGCAATTATAGCGATGCCCATACAAAACGTCTACTCATTACATGCTGTTGAAGAGTAAAGACTCCATCAATGTATTCTGGCGTTGTTGTTGTTGTATGATATTCATTACCGCAGATAAGTCAGACAACTGGGATGCAGTCTGACCCTGTCCTGGAGATGGTGGTGGAGTTGGCTGACGTGAAGGACCTCTGAGCGGTGTTTGACCCGGAAGTGATATGCCCAGACCTGGTACGAGTGCCTGCAATACGTTAGATGGATTCATTCCCGGTGCTGATATTGCGACAGGACCGCCACCAAGTGCGTTTGTCAATCCTTGTAGGAAATTGGATGGTACTTGTTGCGGTGGTTGTGGTTGTTGATCCTGGTTGAATGCTTGATTCTGTTGTTGCTGCTGCTGCTGAAAGTTATTTGGTGTTTGTTGCTGCTGCTGCTGCTGTTGTTGCTGTTGCTGGAAATCCGGTCTACCCTGGAACTGTTGTTGTTGCTGCTGTTGCTGCTGTTGCTGCCCAAAGTCTTGCCCTGCCTGAAATTGCTGCTGTCTTTGCTGTTGTAGAAAGTTAGGTCCTTGTTGTTGTTGCAGCTGTTGCTGTTGCTGCTGCTGCACAGGGTTAGGTCCTCCTTGGAACTGTTGTTGTTGTTGCTGCTGTTGCTGCTGCACAGGGTTAGGTCCTCCTTGGAACTGTTGCTGTTGCTGCTGCTGCTGTTGCTGCTGCACAGGATTTGGTACAAGTTGGAACTGTTGTTGTTGCTGTTGCTGCTGAAGAGGGTTAGGTCCTCCTTGGAACTGTTGTTGTTGCTGCTGCTGTTGACCACCAAAACGGTTGTTACCAGGGTTCCCTGGCTGTTGTGGCGGCTGTATCAGTCCCAACATATTTCCACCCGGTGGGCCTGGGTCAAGGGGTACGTTTGGTGGACCAGAGCCTCCAGGAGGACCAAACGGAGGAGGCGGGGGAAGAGGAGGATTGTTTTGCCCGGTTGAAGATGGTCCTCTGCCTGATAAGCCTAAACCAGCAGGTGATGCGTTACTGAAAGAGCCCCCTAGTAAAGACTCAATATTAGTCGTGGATGGTTGACTTGGACTACCAAACGGGGAACCGTTTGCTGTTGGTGGTGATCCAAACAGATCAGCCATGATCCCGGAACTTCGGGAACTTCCAGAACTTCCACTTATCACGTTGTTTGCAGGGGCAGGTGCAGGTGATGGAATATCAGGAGGAGGAGGAGGGGGACCACCAAGGCCACCGCTTCTTGAAACCGCTTCAAATCCAGGAGGGACTATTGACTCACCCCCTCGAGCTGCTAAATCAAATAATCCTCCACCATTTCCAACATTCGGAGTGCTACCGCGGTTTCTGTTATTAGGAACTATTATTATAACGTTGCGATCATTGTTACGAGATCCTCCTCTTCTTCTACTTCTGTTCCTGTTTCTTCTACGCCGTCGACCTGAAATCAATTCATATAGTGAGTGGGTAATGCTTCTTAATGCATGATATGGTGTTGACAAACCAGGGAACCATAACCAGGGCAATAAGTATTTGTGTTAAGCTATGAATCTGTTTGGATTACCTTTGAATATGTTTCCCGTTAATTCTTGTGAACTCAAAGTGTCACTTAAATGTAAATGTAATGTAAATTGAAAATTAGTTGGAAATGGTAATACACTGAAGCAAAAGTAGAAATGTTTATTTTGGAATGAATATGAAATTCAAAATTAAGATGACAATATAATATCTGCTGTCCGTTTTCCCTAGATCTGAATAGTGCTCGATTTCCTGGGCACAAAATAATAGAAACACTGATCAAAACCTACGATTTTCATTTCCCAGAAAATTATCCAGTTGTTAAAGAAACAAAACAAACAACTAGAATTAGAATTAATTGTACAATTCCTACTATGTATAAATAACTGTAAATAATTCAATACAACAAAAATAGATGTCACAAGGGGTTCGCGATAAGATTGTATCTTGCCCCATCACTGAGAAGCGCCACAAACAAATGTCACGGCAGGTGAGTTGTTTGCCTCTACAAAACACGGGAAGGTAGGGTACAAGTAAAACTATGGAATTACATCACAAAAAAAACACACAACATATTGACCTCTTTAGCTAATCGTATTGTTGTACGATGTTGTATTGTTGTACCATAAATAAGCGTTAAAACCCGTTCCACAATCACAGGAAATCTAAGCTATAAGCTGACTTCACGATTCCGACCACATCATATGCATGTGTTAATGAATCACTATTAAATTGCGATGATTCTCGGTGTTCGCGAAAATGTGTGCGAATATAATTTCATCTGTGGCACCCGTCACAAACACACTTACCTGTCTAAACACGGGAACATATGGCACAAATATGGAATTTTATCATAAGTAATTGACGAATGTGCCCTCCTCAGTTATGCCTATAAATCTACATAAACTGCATAAGGTTTCACGGCAGAATAAAGCCGCAGAATAAAATAATTCAAGGAGAGGTTAAAAGCCTAAAGATATTCCGATTGCACATTTCCTATGTATGTAACACAGGCGCTAAAGTAGTCCTGTATAAGGTGCTTTAAAAACTTTCTGAAATAACACAAGTAAAATGAAAGACACTGTCAAATCTGTATATTACACCATGCCTTTATATCAGATAACATATTTATATACAAAATGTGTATACATTTGAATATATCACAAACCACGATTTTTGCCGTTGTTAAACATGCAAGAATGTAACGTGAGTTTCATATCCTAAAATTGCGTACATAAATCTGTTATACATTAGTTGTATTTGTTACTTTTACACATAATATGCTGTTATGTGGCAGTGTTATTTAGTGTGTCACAGTGTTGCATGTGTAATACATGAAGTTACGGTAAGATGAGCAGATTGTGTGGAGTTTACCCTGGATCTATTTTGAAAACTTAAATATTGTTGCATTGAGGTGAATATTATCATCTCCGTCTTTATTGCTATAATCATTACTTTTGTATTACACTGCCTTTGAATTCGTACTGCCACTCTTATTTTGAATTCGTACTGCATTACCTTTGTAGTCAATTGTAGTCATCTGTACACTTAGTTCATTTCAAATAAGATTGTTAATCGTATTGCTTTGTTGTTTTTTATTTCAATCGAGTTCTTTTACGGGCTGATTTCCATTAACTTTTAGATTCCACTTGGGAATCAGCATGTAACCATGCATAACCCTTTCATTAGCAGTGATGTAATACATTTGTATATTATGCAATCACAAACTGACAGATATGTGCACACAGTCATGCACAGAAAGAACACAAAGTCTTTTCCGTAACAGTTGGAATAATGACTCGGTCCTCAGTTATACACCTCTGAACTGAATGCAGTTATACACACATACAGTGTAGACCAAAAGCCATTGTCCTGCTTTGTTTCTTATTTACTTTTAAAATTAAACGTGTAACATTTAGACAGTTATAAGAATGCAGTTTAAATATAGTCTCGTATATTCCAGTTTTCAAAGATAAGATTTTTTCTCAAATAATTTGCATGAGCATCATGACATCCCCCGGGTTGCGTCCTTGGGTCATTCCTTGGGTCATTGCTTGGTATTCTTCCTGAGGGTAATGTTGAGGCGGGGCTTCGGAGAGAAGGAACGGACAGTCATTGACAATGAAGTATATCTCGGCTATATTAGATTCAAACTACATAATCATATGAAATCTCTACCAATTAGAAATTCGACGAACATGAATGCATGACAATATGTTAAATGATAACAATTTCTTTTCTAAACTGTGCGATTCTGTTTTTAACATGAGCAAAATGTTTATGAATCACTATTAACTGGTGAGGCTGGTGAGCGATTCCTGCCCCACCGCTGACACTCTTCATACTACACAGCTTCAATTTCATTACAGATATTCATTGCAAAATGTAACAACTGCCACAACAATATTGTAATTTACCATCATTAAGTCATCAAATATTAGAGCTGTGACGATATATCGTAGTATCGATAATCGTGATACTTTATCTGACGATAAATATATCGATACTTTTGTTCGTATCGTGATATGAATCGTTGACCTTAAAATTGTTAATGATCACTAGAAATTGACAGTTATGCAAAAATGTACACTGTTACTTGCTATCAAAATATACTTTTTTAAAGAAAATAACGAAAGATAGCATATCGTGATATGCATCGAATCGAATCGTATCGTTCCAAGATATCGCGATACGTATCGTATCGTGACATTTCCGTATCGTCACACCTCTATCAAATATACTTGATTTTGATCCACTGAGTCGCTTCTAACGGCAAACACTGGTTTTGCAGTTCGGGCCAATTCGAACCGAAAATGTAACATTGTTTGTAACAAAAACTGTTTAGAAAAGGTATTACCCAAGTGTTGTTGGTTTTGGTAGTACGGATCATTGCTCTGCCTGGTTTGGCTCCGTTGGACGTGGTGATCATTAGCATTCGTTTTTGCTTTTTGTTCCTGGTTGTAGTTTTCCTGCATTAGCATTTGCTGTTGACGCATATACTGTTGTTGTTGCTGTTGCTGCTGATGTAGCTGTTGTTGCTGATGAAGTTGTTGGTGGTGGTTCCTCTGGTAACGAGTGGCAGCATGTTGATGACGCCGGCTTTGACTGTTTGCCATAACAGGTTTGGTGACATAGGTCTCCGATTCTGGGTCGTAAACCGTTTGCAGCCGTTGCCCCTGGAAGTCACCGTTCGTGTATCTGCGGTTCGAAGATTGCATACTTCGTCGATTGGAGTCAGGTGGTGTCAGACTTTCAGTTTGATACCGCTGAAGTTTGGAGGCGCGGGGATTAGCAGACAGAAGAACAGGTTGTCTTCTGGAATCGGGTTGTACGTCGCTTGCTTTGAAGCCAGCATGGTTCTGAACAGGACGCACACCTAAAGTTGAAACATCAGTGTGAATATATTTCTCCATAAAAACATTTAGGTTGTGGCTCAGAGCTGCTTTCAACGGTATTTCAGTTCCATCATGGTGTGTCAGGTTAATGTAGAAGACAGGCCTGCGACGTTTACTACATCAGGTGAAATCAACAAGCATAAATATGGTACTGATAAACCTAGAAACCATCAGGGCAAAACTACATTTTAACCCAATATTAAAGATTTCTGCACGCCTAAGGGGCACAATTCTGCATAGTTATATGCTTCCCCTTATATAAAAGTACCACGGAAGTAGCATCTACACTTGTATGCAATGCCACTGTCAAGAACTGTTTGGCTCTAATAGAAAATATATTTTATGATGACTATATCCGTATGCAAGACAATGTCAGTTGGGTAACTGAATGGATAAAGTTTGAAAATTAGTTAACTTACTCGACTGACCTATCGTAAGCTGATCAGCGGGGGACATGTGTCTGTTCGCCTGGGCCACGTCACCAGGACGATGTCCTTCTGAACCAATTGGTACTCCAGCATTGTGCTTCCGCTGTATTAGCATACCTCCATACACGTCAGGAAACGGTTCGTTGCCACGGTTATGTGAGGGAACATTATTCATCCTCCCTTCACGTCGTCTAATACTTGCTCTCGTTCGCCCAACTGTCTGGAAATTATGTTCTATCCCAGAAGGCCTGCCTATGTCAATATAAGGTGATGAAGGCTCTTGTGAGGGATGTCTGGAGTACTGTGCTCCAGGATATACTTGACTCGAGGATAAATGGGATCTTTTTGTATCAAATGATGTCATGTTTGACTTGGAATTTGCATTCGGACTGTCATCTGTGGCTACAGCCTCTTCAACACTAGGATCTCTGGGCCTTTTTTCCATCGTCGGAATGCCGGGCCTACTGCTGAAGATGGATGTCATTGATCTTGGGCTGGATACCCGTGGTCCTCGAGCCGATGCTCCTTGTTCATTGCCTCCATGGGGAACTCTATAACTTCCTTTTGCTGTTCTTCCAGGTGATGAGTTTGCAGGAACCACACGTGTCTGAAGTATATTGTTCCTCTGCATATTTCTTAAAGATATTGTTCTTGTGTGTCCGTGTGTTGGCTCACCATACACTGTTGGCTCAGAGACCATCTCCTGAATGTGCACGTCCTGTACAACGTGTTCGGGTCTCGGTTCTGGTGGGATTTCTGTTTGTGTGTACTGGTGTGCAGTAATCATTCTATTTATGTCTGTGTTTGTGTTCGTATTGTACATATCACTAACAATGTGTAATTGACCAGTGTGGATGGTATCTGCTGAAAGCCGAGTTTCAGACTCTGCCCTTGGGACTAACGGCTCTGGTTCCGCTTCCGGTTCCGCTTCCGGTTCTGGTTCCGGTTCAGCCACCGCGTCCGTCTCTCCAACTTCCTGGATCTGGACGTCAATGCCGCCATGAACATGAACCGGGGATTTGTAAGTGTCCTTTACATGGTTTGTCGTTGCATCTCTCTGTACTCCTCCTCCTCTTCCTCGTAACCTTTCTGATTTTGGTATATTAGTCTTAAATGATATCTGAATGTCACTAAGATGAATTGTCTTGGGAGTTGACAGTTCTAACATGGGAACAGGTGCAATAAGTGCAGGGACAGTAGTGTCAGGAACGGGTTGTGTTTGAGGAACATAGTTGGGTTGTTGTTGCTTAGACGTACGGATTATTGACTTTATCAGAGCTGTTATATTTGTTTGTCCCAAAGCTATAATATCTTGGTAAGTCGGTTGCATATAACCACCTATATCTTGGCTGAACTGGGAATATGTGGTTGTAGGTCGCTGCCTTGGTGTCTGCGTCGTTGTGACTGTTGATTGTGGTTTTGGGACAAGTGTTATCTTAGATTTGTTATTTCGTTTCCTCTGAAAATAGTTCCTCTGAAAATTATTCTTTTTTTTCCTTAGATTAATTTTAACATCACTCCCACCATGAACAGTTCCGTGGCTTTGTCCTCGAAGTCTGCGTGAAGTTGCGAGAATGTGTTCCAGTTTCTTTTCAAAAGCGTCCAAGTTTTTACTGGAGTTGAGACCATGAATATTTTCATTCAAAGAGCTCATGAAATTGTTCACAGTAAGTTTGTTGTTAATTTTCTGTTCAGGTGTATCTTGAATAGCTGCATTCTGAGTTGTTGGTGTCTGAGTTGTGGTGACAAGGAATTTCTTTTGCTTGATACGATTTGGCATTCTTCTTTTCTGTGGTCTTATGAGGACAGACAACACTCTAGGAACTGTCGGGGGTACTGACGTAGTTGGAGAAGTTGTTGTGGAGGTTGTTGTTTTGGAAGTAACGGAAGTTGGGGCTTTAGTCTTTCCTTCCATTGTTTTTCCCCGTGCCATAAGTTTTAATTTTGCAAAAACATCTCGATTTAATACGTTTATCTTTGATTTGATTCTGTGGGTTTTCGGTTTAACCACTGGCGTTTCAGATGTCGTTTTGTCATTAATTGTTGAGATTGTCTTTTGTTTTTGTATGGTTTCTGTCCTTCTTTCACCAGTCGAGTTAGAAAGAAATCGTTTTTGTTGAACATCAAGAAAAGGGGTGGCTGTTGTCGTTGATATGTCCTGTGTAACTACCTTTGTAGGTTTGACCTTATTTATCTTCATTTGTAGCAGGAGTAGAAGATCATTAACAGACAAAGAATCGGCACTTTTGGTTTTCAAAGTGTTTATATCAACTGCAGAGGATGCTTTTATAAATGGAATCCTTGGTGCCGCAGGAGGATTAGCAGCTTGGAGTAATCCAGTATCCGGCCCTGAAAGCACCTGACTTGTCACGTTTGTGATGGAAGGAGCCGTGGTGACTATCGCTATAGCTTCAGCTGTTCTACCCATTGTGATGGGGATATTGGTGGTTGTGAATTTTCTGTAGTTTTCAACACGATGATACCCCATCTTTCGATATGTACTCAACAGTTTCACTCGCTTTTTATTACTGTCCCTTAACATTCTTAAGAGCTTGTCACGAGACGGGGGATTTTTGAAAGGCCGACTTTTAAAGCTTAATTTTTTAAGTGAATATTTAGAAAGTGACGACAATCTTTGCAACAAAGGAGGTGGGGTCTTTTTAGAATCCAATGGAAGTGATCCACTTGTTATGTTAACGTCATTTGTTTTCTTAAAAAATTGTGTTGAAGTCGGTTGTATCGTTGTTGCCGTTGTGGTTGTTGTTACAGTTGTTGTTCTTGATGTGACTGGAAGTGGTGTAAATGGTTTCATTGTAGTTGGAGCTGTTGTAGGTATAGTTGTAAAGGTTGTTGTAGTTGGAGATGCGGTAACAGGTGATGCAGTGGTCACTGTCGCTGTTGAGGTTGAGGGTTTATCAGTATTTACGAAAGTAGCAACTTCTTGTGTTGTATATTTTGGAGTACTATTTTCAGAAGTAGCAACAGGAAGAAGTTTCTTAGCTTCTTCTATAGGGATGTTAAAATTTGTTGTGAGAAGGTTCAGAAAATCGGCCTTGGTTAAATCCTGCCGCATGGAGCCGAATATATCGTCTAAATTTGGGCTTCCGGTAGCTTCTTGTATTTTTTTAATTGTGGTTTCATCTATTACTAGATTTGGTGTCGTTTCCACAGTTACAATCGTGGTTGGAGGGACCGTATTGACAGTAGACTCAATGGCTATATCTTCCTCAACATCCACTGCTGTATTTGCTTCTGGCAAGGTGGTACCTGTACTGATGGTAGGGGGTACCGTTGTGGATTCGGTCACAGGAAATTGATCTCGTGACTTTTCACCAGATGCTGATAATGCCCAAGGTACCACCTTTTGATTCACCTCACCGCGGGATGCTCTGGATGACGACAAAAGAGAGTTCAGGTTTTTTGTTAAAAACTGTTGAATGCTATTAAACGTGTTATCGAGTCTTTTCTCTTCAAGTCGTGCTTTATCCATTGTAGTCATTTCTGTCACAATATTTTCAGGAGTTGGCAGTATAGTTTCAGCGAGCGTTGTTTCCGTTATTGGCTGGTTAGTAGATGTTTCTGTAGAATAAATCGTTGTGGTTGAGGGCAGTTCTGTTGTTAGCACAGGCGGATCAATGTCAATGGCTGATTCAGTCGCCATCGGCCTTCTCGGACGCCTACGTCTTATTCGGTCAGATGCTTTATACATAACTTTAGGAACTCGAGCAGGCGTTTGTCTTGTAGAAGGTAAGTTTGGCGATCGCCTAGGAGCATGGTTAGTTCTAAATCTACGCGATTGATAAGGTTCAGTAGACGTGATTCTCGTTCTTGTTCTTCTTCTTGTGGATACCGACGATGGTCTTGTCACCTCTACAGCCAACGTTGGAGTGAGTGTTGTCGTAGTTTCTACAGGTTTGTCTGTACTCAGAGTCTTCTTCAGGACATCTGCAACATGAGATATTTAACTAAAAAGCCCAAGCTGGATTAAACCGTACCCATGATGTAAGTGTTTTCACACTCCAAACGGACAATGAAGTAGTCTTATGGTTAAAGAGTTTGTTTGTCACGCCGTAGACCCGGGTTCGATTCCCTGCATGGGATTTATGTATGACGCCCATTTCTATTTCCCTTGCCGAAATAATTGCTTGATTAATGTCCATAGCGACCTTGCTTAATCACAAAGTGTAACTTAAACTGCCAAAACCCTACATCGAACAGTCAAAAGTTTATGTGTCATAAAGATTTGCATATTGTTCATTACATGTGTGCACAAGTTGGATTTAAAATATCCTGTTGCTGTGTTCAGTCATAACCATATATGTGTATTATTATGCCTGAAATCCTGAAATTCCACGCCCATCTCGTCTTGACATGATTAAGAACTCTGCATTGGAAATAGCTGTGTGTTCTTGTTTGTTGTTCAACGCCCCACCCTGCAATAGTCCAGCTATATGGCGGTGGTCTGTCCCCCGTGCTGCCCAGTGCGATAGAATTCAGTATGTCTGATTTTGCGAAATGCTGCTGGCCATAAGTCATAAAGTACTTACCTTCCAAAGGGCCTGCCACGCCCGCCATCTTTGCTATCTTCATCACATCTGAAATAACAACAGTCCTGTTATGATTACAAACCAAATTGTCTTGCAGTTTCTTTACATTAATTTCATTGAAAATACTAGATAAAGCCACTGGCGCAGTATATAATTAAAAGCAAACCAGTATCTTTTTAACCATATTACCTTGTCTTATATAACACAACTAAGGAGCCTTCAGAGACCAACCATTTCATATTCACTGAATGAGGTAAGTGTTTGGGTTTTGGTCGTTTGTATATTTTGTGCATTTCTTTAGACCCAATTAGACCATGTTTCAGAGGATAGTCTGTTGCCATCACTTTCAGGAACTATTTCCCCTCAGAATATGAAATAGTCAGCCAAATGCAGTGAAAATGTGTTCATTATACCTTCTAATGAGAACATTTTTGCTGGTGCGCCTTCACCTGAAAAGAAACATATTGTCTTTATGGTCAATACGATTAGTCAAACTCATATACAACGTGTTTTAGTTCTAGTGGCTTACAGTTAGACTACAGTCGTAAACTATTATTTGGGTCATGTCAAAAAGTCTTTAAGTTAGTTTACAAGTAAACTATGTTCCTGTTCAAAGGCTTGACCCGCACATTAGACAAGGTTATACGTACAATAAGAGATGCACATTATCTGTGTTATCAGGTTTCGGTGTTATTAAGCTTTGGATGCCCGGAAATTCATTTGGAACCGATGGTGTTAGCACAATGTTCGACGACTATGTACAATACAAACGTTTTTGGCCTTTTACGTAATCTCTCAGGACTGTGAGATAGAATGTTATGCTGGATTATTTGGCACCAGGATGGCAAACGTTTCCGTTATAAATGAATCCACTTTAGTATTTAGTGGATTGTGGAAAGGAATTGTTTGACAAAATACTGACAAAACTTCATTTGATTTAAGTGATACCCATTTCGTGAAGGTGAATTGCACAAGTTTTCCAAATTCGTGAGTTGAAAACAAGAATTAGAGAATTTCCGGGACCCAATCCCACTAGAATCCCAGTCAAAATATAGACAAGCATGAGAAAAAACTGAAATATTTAAAGTAATTCTTTGTAACAATGAACTTTTTATGATCCTTTATAATGATGCCTCAAGTGCATTTTAAACTTAACATTGAATTCGTGAATTTGAAAGCAAACTTAAATTTGTCATAAAATGAAATATTTATTTTTTGTGTCAGAGATTTCCTGAACCCAATGTGATACCCCCATACAGCATCAACAACAGGGACGAGGGAGGAATTCCAAGGGTTCTCACCTTATGTTTCGGTTCTTCATGCAATTTGCAGTTGCCACACTTGAAATCAAATTCACGACTTCCGCAAATCGTCTTAGCCGTAGATAATATTACGTTCAAGTTCACGTGGCGCCTTGAATAATGTGCTTGGGCACAAGGCTTTGACAGCTTTGACTAGGTCTGCTAAATGCAATTTATTTAATTTATGAATTTATACAGAATAGTATGCAATGGTTAATAATGATAAAATATACATCACATGTTAAATATAAGACACATGTATGTTTTATGTAATATTTAACATGAAGTATGTTCTGCAGGTAATTATAAAGAGAAAGATCAGCGTCTTCATGCAGGGACGTTCAAGTGACGGAATGATACAGCGTAGCTATGTCCGGTTTAAATTACCATCTGTACACCTTATTAATGCAGAATGAATTATTCTTTTTACATATAAGCATTTCCAATTTTCAAGTATAGGATGTACAAGGAGGTTAGAAGCATGAGATGTACAAGCAAGTGAATGGGTGTACGGTTAGTGAACTTTAAAGTGTGGGATGTACGAGTCATTTCTAGTGTAGGAAGTGCATGTTCAAATGTTTCCAAGTGTAGGATGTACAGGTATTTGCAATTGTAGGATTTACAGGTATTTGCAAGTGTAGGATGTACAAGTATTTGAAATTGTAGGATGTACAGGTATTTGCAATTGTAGGATGTACAGGTATTTGCAAGTGTAGGATGTACAGGTATTTGCAATGGTAGGATGTACAGGTATTTGCAAGTGTAGGATGTACAGGTATTTGCAATTGTAGGATGTACAGGTATTTGCAATTGTAGGATTTACAGGTATTTGCAATTGTAGGATGTACAAGTATTTGCAATTGTAGGATGTACAGGTATTTGCAATTGTAGGATGTATAAGTATTTGCAAGTGTAGGATGTACAGGTATTTGCAAGTGTAGGATGTACAGGTATTTGCAATTGTAGGATGTACAGGTATTTGCAAGTGTAGGATTTACAGGTATTTGCAATTGTAGGATGTACAGGTATTTGCAATTGTAGGATTTACAGGTATTTGCAATTGTAGGATGTACAGGTATTTGCAAGTGTAGGATTTAAAAGTATTCCCAAGTGTGGTGTTTACAAGTGTTTTTAGTGCAAGATTTGCAAGCTATTTGAAGCATAAGGTGTACGAGTATTTGGAAGAGTGGGAAGTACGACTTACCTAAGGGTATGATTGTGTCAGTTATGTTTAAATGTGAAAGTATGAAATTTCAGAAAATGTATCCAGGTCAGTCTATAAGGCAAACTCCTACAAGGCGTTGTCTTAATTGTTTGAGGTATCACAGCTTACATTGTTTATCAAAGGGTCATGTAGGGTGACGTGATAAATAAAATACTTCTTCAGATAAAAATATGTGTCCAATGATGTTTAACAAGAACACTTCGTTGCCTAGCCAACTCTTATATTAAACATTGAATATTGAAAAGAATCAACATGACTAACCTTGTGCATCTGAAGACGCGAGTATCGCCAGAATAACCAGTGCTGCAATCAGGGGACGAGACCACATTGTCGACCCTCCTGCAACAACGGGATACAGTGAGTGAGTGAGTGAGTTTATTCCTCCTCTGCCACTATTAAAACTACTACAAGTTGAGGATACCAAGAACGGATTTCAATACATTTACATAATCTTGCCTCACACATAAATGTCGTTTTCTGAATGGCTGAGCGCTCTTCTATTATTTTCGATGTACCCCGCTTACAAGCGAGTAGAATTTTCTATGTACCCCGCTGGGAATGGCCGAACTCATTTGGTACTTCGTAGTAGTAATTCTTTATCTCGAATAACATTGAATCACGTATGATGTACGGAAATTACCGATGTTTTGCGAATGCAAATCGATGGAAGGGAGAATATTTACCCGTGCATGCGTACGTGTACGTGTATTTTACCGCATCGTTGTCTGGTCCAGACTAGATTATTTACAGACCGCCGCCATATAGCTGGAATATTGCTGGAATAAAACTAAACTCACTCACTCACTCATAATTGAATTGGCGTCCGCCCGGAAAGCGAAAGATCGCGGGTTCGATCCCCTGCCACGTCATACCAAAAGACGTTAAAATCTGGTACTTGTTGGTCCCTGCCTGGTGCTCGACATTAATGGGTACAACAAGGACTGGTCGGTTCGGAGTCAGTATAATGTGTCTAAGTGGGGTATTCATGCTTAACTGCCGCATGGTATCTCAGTGAGCTAGCACTATAAAACCTGCTTAAGTCTTGGCTAGTACAAGCAGCCACACATACACACCCATGCACGTCGTCATATAAGCGAAATATTCTTAAGTGCGGCGTTAAACCCCATTTCACCTCACCACCTCACCTCATAACTGCATTCCATACATTCACACTGACAAATACCAGTTCATGCATACATATATACATATCAATGGTTATTGAACTGTCGGTAAATCAAAGTATAGATCCATGTTTTGAAGGTGGCTAGAATCACACAAACAGGAAATGGTTACTAGATGGTTTTGTACGATATCGTAGCAGTTTTAGACCTTTTTTCGCGGTGTTTCGGCTTCTGTTATATTTTCCTTATAACGTTTTGATAACGATATAATATATTTACTTAAATCTTATTTTCAAGGGTGTACTTTCTTTCACCCGGCAATATATAACGCAGTGTGATGGTGTATGCACCCTATTATAAATGCACCCGTGTAGGTCCGGGTTATAATATTGGCCTTCAGTAACCCATGATTGTCGTAAGAGGCGACTAACGGGATCGGGTGGTCAGGCTCGCTGACTTGGTTGACACATGTCATCGGTTCCCAATTGCGCAGATCGATGCTCATGATGTTCATCACTGGATTGTCTGGTCCAGACTCGATTATTTACAGAACGCCGCCATATAGCTGGAATATTGCTGTGTGCGGCGTAAAACTAAACTCACTCACTTACTATTATAAATGCACCAACGATCATTTACAATATATTGGTTAAGAGTGAGTGAAATATTTGAAAGGCATCTAGAAATTGAAAGAACGTGAATACATGACTCCTGTTTTAGGGATAACAACTTCTTTTGTTCTTTTTCATGACGTTTCAAGACTATTATTCTCATTTATCAGGTGGCTGATGATTCCGAAACGTCGTAAATAAGAATAAAAGATGTTATTATCCAGGATAGGTGCCACGTATTTATCAGTGAGTGAGTTGGGTTCAATGCCCTTTTGAACTGGATTATATTTAAATCACAGCAAGACATCTTAATGTAGGATGAACGCCTGTGGACATGGAGGCCTTGGCGTTTACATTGTCATGGAACGTAGAATCTGTGTATAGTGATGACAAGCATTGAGACATAACCAGAGAAAACCCGAATTCGAACCCACGATCACATGTTAATAGTACACCTAAACAACGCAACTGTGCCTTAGACAACAGCATCATCCGTGCCCCCAAAATCAATATGAATGTGTTAAATATGTTCCATACTTACTTTGAACACTTCAGGCAAAGTACCCAACCCTGCTTCTCAAAGAGGCACGTGCCTTCGTCACATTAAATCCAGCTTGGGACTACGCCCTCCCTACGAAAGAATCACGCGCCTCAACAGTCGTTAAAATGCCAGGATGATGCCACCTTGTCGTGCCCATGTCTCCCATGGTAGCAGCGTTCCTGGCACGGAGTTTTAACACGATATCATGTCTAGCCAGGCATCAGTTGATACTCTGTGACGGAGTTTCCCGTGACTAATGGTCAGATTACATTGCTAGTTATATTTATTAAACGTGTAATATAAAAGGCAATCTCGTGGGTTAGCAAATTTAGCGAACGTCAGAGACATATTTTATTCACGAGTTTCATAAAAATATATTAGAGTTCAGTATTTCATACATCACTTGTCGTTTATAACATTTTCGCATTTCACTCCCGTGTGTAAATAGGAACCCGGCGATCCACTGCAGATTCCATTTGAGTTGAACTGAGCGTCAAGCGACTCGCGCGTGTGTTTTGCAACATGGCTGTAAGTGCCTGCGCATTTGTTTATTCAGCTCATCGAGTTGAGCCGTGCGTCCCCTGCTGCTAATTTTTGCTTGTTATGCATTGTAATTAACATCTTTTAACACCTATGTATGTACCCTTTTGAAGAGGAGTTAACTAGCTTTTTGTATATGTGACTCCCGTCGCTGTATGTTATTATTAGCGTATAAGCGTTTATGCCGCTCCAACCTATATGTATACCCCTTATTTTATCAGGGTTTTTGCTAACTACAAAATTGTACAAACTGTTGTCTCAATATCCACCTGTATCTATTTGTAGTAGAGTTCGCGCTCTTCTTATAATTTGGCAGTAAGGGGTGATATGGGATGGACTAGTACTTTGTCAAAACAAAGAACAGAAGTATTACGTTTTGGGGTTAAGTTGCACCGTATGGCACCTGATAGATTGCCTTCTGTTATTAGCAGCTGGTCACGGCGTTTAGCAAAATCATGGGATAACACAGTGTCATCTTTATTACAATCGCTGCAACTCCCAGTGCAAGACATGCTACACATGTCTAGTAGTGAATTGACTTTGTCATTTCAACATATACAGTTGTTAGATCATCAGGAGTGGCTACGGGAATTGTGGAATGACCAGGGTAATCCCAACGGTAATAAGCTACGCACATATAGACAGTTTAAGTACACTGTTACTCCAGAACCATATTTAACTGCTATACTGCCCAGATGGCACCGTAGCGTTCTAGGTAAACTTCGCTGTGGTACGTACACTTCCATTAGAAATAGAACGTGGTAGATTTTCTCGTCCTGCGACGCCAATTGTAGACTGCTTTGTGCATGTCGACCTGCTACCTAGTTGTGAATCGCCGCATCGTGGGATGACCTGAGGACCGAACTTGGGAGCTCAAGACTGGTTTTTGTGATGGTATATCTTGTTCTGGTCTGTTTGTCTTATTGATCACTTGGGGTGTTAAATGTTTATTGGCCCGATACTCTCCCTGTAAGTGGCAGTAGTTAGGTCCTTATCATCCCCCACTCATTAGGTGTCACCAGTTAATATATGGTCTGATCCCTGAGCTAGTCTATTAAGGCGAGTTTACTTAGCTAGCTACTTGCTGTTTTCAGCGGCTTGTTGTTGTGCTTGAGGTCAAGTTCATTCATGCTTCAGCGGGTACTTAGCTTTAATAAATGGTTGTATCAACAATCGGGTTGTGTATTTGATAACTATTCTGGATCATTCTCCGTCGGTAGTTGGCGCCGTGACAGGAATAATACTTTTAAGACATTAAATGCTAACATGTGTGAAATAAATACCACTTAACGGCCATCTTTTAGAACTAAGGAGTTCCACAAATCGCGTGCACCAAATACCTCACAATTATCTGTGACGTTGCAAGAAACACCGGCCAAACAATGCCCTCTGACGTCAGCCTAAGAACAAGTTTGCCTGGACCTTCGAGTGGACATACGAAATTAACAAATACCATGTAAAGGAGATACCTTTAAGTGATCTAGTGTCTCTATCGTTGTGTCATTAAAGAAACTCTGGGATGGTGACAGATATTTGTCTGTGAAATCATACCCTCCAGTACATAAGCACACGCTCACATTAACTTATTGTCATTTAACATTGGTATCTGCAAAGGGCTTGTAATAAATATTCAGAAAAACGCGTTTCGATAGTATTGAAAATATCCAATTTATTGAATGCTATGTTTACTATAATACCGAAAATATTAGTGAGTGTCGTTTGTCATTTAACATTAATTGGTATCTGCAAAGGGCGTGTAATAAATATTCAGGCTAGCTATTCTCGAAACGTTCGTAGCCCTACGAACTTCTTAAGCCCATTCGTAACACATTGGCTACGATCAAAGTTAAGAATTCTTAGGGCTACGAACGTTTCGAGAATAAGGGCCCCTACATAATATTGGATCAATACGGTCCATTCACACATTAACAAGTTCAATCCGTTAAATCACGGTGAAATAGGTTAATGAATTATACGAACTGAATAAAGCCCTAGTTTGTTTGTTTAATTGTTTGTTTGTGGAACAGCAGAGTTCAGACAAACGAGTTTCGATAGTATTGAAAATATCCAATTTATTGAATGCTATGTTTACTATAATACCGAAAATATTAGTGAGTGTCGTTTGTGAAATAAATGTTTATTGAAAATGGTTTGTGCATGAATAAGTGCGTGAGTCGTGATGAAATTACTGAGAGACAATAACCGCGGACGTTTCCTCTTTTATAAAAATTATGAGACCAAACCTTAATGACAAATCATGTATCATTTGTCCGGTCCATTCGCGAACACCTGGTATCATTACTATTTCATAGTGATTCATAAACACATGCTCTGTCATCGTATCGCATGGTGACAATCACTGGATTTTCTCGTTCAGACCCGATTTGTTTACAAACAACATCAGCTGTAATACTGATGAAAAAATATCTGCTCATGATATAGTCACAATTGTACAATCGTATCTGCTTTTAGCAGAGATTTCTTAAGAATGTGGAAAGGGTTTTGTCGCTTCTATATATTCATTTCTAACAAGATGATATTACGCCCGCTTCTGTCTGGAGTCAGCTTCATGCAGGACAGCATAAGTCTGTCGCAGCAAAGTCTTTTCTCAGTAGTAGAGCTGTATTTATGAATATGCATTGTGAAAAGCATTGTGTTTGTCCCAATGAAGGAGTAATGGATTGCATTATCATATAACAGTATAATCGATGAGAAAAATCAACCGATAAACTTCATAATCATCATCCATTGAAGTGCAAATAAAATCCCCGTCCATTCATCCATTCATCTCAATTCCCAATTATTGACTTACGTATCTACGTACTGAGTACTTTATTACGTTTCCATTACGTTCAGATATAGTCCATTTGATTTAATTTTAGACCGATGAATTGCTCACTGAGACAAGATTTAATAATTGCAACAAAACCAAATGTCCCAAGAAATTGACAGACGAACTCTGATGATTTGTATCATAATTTTGGACACCCGAATAAAAACGGCTGTTCAACTAACGATCATTATTTTGTTGTATTTTCGCTATAACTTACGAGGGGGGACCACTTGCTGGTAGGACAGCCAGGTAATCAACAAGCGTGTGCAGTGAAATTTCAATTTCACACGTGCAACTTGCACACCTGGCGGTTCTACCAGCAACACCCCACCCCACCCCCCTCATAAGTAATAGCGGAAAGTGTGAACAAAATAATGATCGTTTGTTAAACAACTTGATTATTCGGGTATCCAAAATCATGAGACAAATCATCAGAGTTGGTCAGTAGATTTCATGGGACATTTCAAAATTTGGTTTTGTTGCATTTATTAGATTTTGTGTTAGTGAGCAATTCAGTGGTCTAAAATATCATCAAACGGACTATAGTTGATTTTCAGAGTGTGAGTTTCATGACGTCAAATAGGGAGGGGTGATGTGGCACCAGACGGTGTATGCATATGCGGTTTCTGAAAATAATACATAAAAAATAATAAGCTATTTTAAGCGTGCCAAGGTTGTTGGACAGAATATCAAAGTTGAAGTTGATTTTCTTGATGGCCATGTACTGCTGGACGGTACAGCGATGAAAGTAAACCAGGTGAAGTTATTCACCAAGTCTGCCCAGAGTCGGTCATTTGTGGAGGAGAAACCACTGCATCGTGTGTACATGCAGTGTGTGGAACAGAACTACAGTAATCCAACCGACTCCTTCGCCTGTAAGTTTGCTGGTCTTAAATGTGAAACTGAGGGCTTCCTTTTTGCTGCTCACGACCAGTCACTTCCCAAATCGCCAAAATGTGATTCCTAAAGAAACCATCAATATGAAATTTCGATTATGAAGTGAATTTACAGAGACTGTCTAACACCTTGTCAGTGGATGCCCTCCCATGCTTCTACTACCGTCTTCGCCATGCCTGTGGATTTGACTCCGACCCCACATGGGTACAATATGTGAAGCCCGTTTTCCCCGCCGTGATATTGCTAGAACATTGCTAAAAGCGGCGTAAATCCCCACTCACTCACTCACTTTGACTCCGAGGTCCACCCATGGTACGACCCTGAACATGTCCAATTCGTCATGGAATAATGATGGTTTTTAACTTTTTTGGAATAAGCCCATATTTAGCGTCAGAAGAATTCCAGCCAACAAACCTGATCGTGTCCTATTTGATTAAGCCAATGAATTTATTTATATCATAGAATGTTCTCTCCCTTTTGACAGCAACGTGATTGGCAAGATTCAGGAAAAGCATGTTAAATATGTGGACCTCACCTTTGAAATGTTTCGCTTGCATCCCAAGTAAATTGTCGTCAGCTTCCTCATTGTTCTCGGTGCCCTTGGCTTGGTACCTCCTGATCTCTTGGCGCAGATCAGGAAAGTGCCCTTCTAACACTCTGGGTAATGCAGAAGGCTGCAGTGTTGGGAGCCTTCATAGTCTCCGGAGAGTTCTTGGTGGATTCAACTGGGCAGCGCTTCCTGTGAGAAGTCCCATTCGCTGTCTGGGCTGTGTGTAGACAGGGCAAGCGTCCTGAGCTGATGATGAGCCTTACCAGCCTGAATACGTCAGGATCACCCGAACCCTCTCTGCTGCATTTTCATCATCATCTGCAAAGCATAATAATAACGACAAAATCCTTTCCACATCCTTAAGAATTGCTACAACAGAAAGTGACTTTATTGAAAGCAATTCGTTCGCTCATTTACGATTCTT